CAGGGAGTTGTGACCAATCTATTTGTTTATCACTGAAGGGTGACTTGGAGACATCTCTTCTTTACAATGTAAAAGATACTGGTTATTGCCCATACTAAACCACCCAGCCTGAGGTAAGGGAAGGGGAGGTGAGAGGGGAGATGGAGGGGCACGGCTCATCCTTTTCACTATCTCCACCAGAATTCCTGGTGGGGCGTGAATGGAGTACCTTCACTGAATACCACTTCCACCTCTTATTAATGACATGACTTGGGCTAATCACTGTGTTTACTTCAGCTTCTCTATTGGAACCCCTTATTGGGCTATTGTGAAGCTTCCCTGAGATAAGGCCCATGAATGTGCTTTGCCTGCTGTGCTAGAAATAGAGATCTGACTGGCCTATATTCTAGACCCTTCCCCCCACCTCTCAGCTGAGACCCTACAGATGGGGAATGCACCATTTTTCACCACAGTGACTGGCAGGCCCTGGATTTCGGAACCAACCTGAGACAGAGCTTCTAGGAGAAGGCGGGAGCCAAGTCCTGGGTTATAGCCCCCTAACTGTCTGTTGAGGTTATCTATTGCTGTGCAACAAACCACCCCAAAACCTAGTGGCACAGAGGAAGAATCATTTTATTGGGTTGGCTGAAAAGTCCCTTATTTTTTTTTTCTGTATGATGGCTCCATTAGTGCTTAGTTGTTTTTACCTTCTTTTGAAACAATTTTGTTAGATTGTATTATGACAGCTCTCATATCAGCATACAATAAAAAAAACTTACCAAAATTGGCGAATTTTTTGCAGCCTTTTAAATATTGATGGTGGAAAAGATATGCAACATTTTCAGCATATTATGCTCTATTATTTCAAGAAAGGTAAAAACACAACTGAAACACAAAAAAGGATTTGTGCAGTATATGGAGAAGGTGCAGTGACTGATTGAATGTGTCAAAAGTGGTTTGCAAAATTTCTTGGTCCTATTGACATTTTGGCCAAATGACTCTTTATTGTGGGGCTGTCTTATGCTTTGGAAGATGTTACGCTACACCCCTGGCCTTTACCCACTAGAAGCCAATAGTGGGAGATAGCTGACGTACTCAAAATATCCAAATCAGTAAAGATATTGGAGAGAATGAAAAATGTGTCTTTTATTTTATGGATAAAAACATAACCGGCTTTTTGGCTAACCCAATACATACTTTGTGGGTCAGGAATTGAGAAGCCTTAGAGATGGCTTGTCACTGCCCCAGGATATTTGGGACTTCAGATGGGGGCATTCAAATGCCAAGGCTGGGCTCAGCTAGAAGCTTCTCACTCACATGTCTTCTCCTGACTGCATTTAACTGAGATGCCATAAAGGCTGAGTTAGGCTGGTATTGTGATTGGATCACCTATACATGGTCCCTCCATGCGGTTTGGGCTTCTCACAGTATGGTGCTGGGTTCTGGGGGGAAGTCTGAGAACCGGGTGGGAACTGACTTTTTCTGAGCTGACTTTTAAAGTCAAGTAGCATGACTTGAAGCAGGCTATGGTTACCAAAGAACCTCAGGGGCCACACCATAGTCAAGAGAAGAGCTCTAGACTCTGATTCTTAAGAGAATGGCAAAGTCACCATGTAGGAGAGTTTTTGGAATACAAATTATTTTATGGTCATCTTTGGCTGACCATACAGTTGTAACATGGCTGTCAGGGAATTGCAGCATCTCAGGAAATCTTGGACAACAACTTCAATCTCCTCTGCAGTGTTTTGGCCCATTCTCACCTGGCCTCTGTTGATGTGTGCTCTGTATATAGTGTTTTTGCTCAATGGGACAGCCCATTCCACCTTAGAACTGCTTGGACCTATACACATTCCTTTCCTCTGTTGAGGTGCCATCTGTAACCCTTGGCTTCCTCCCTTTAATTTTCATACACATCCTGGACTGTCACCAGGAGAAGTTGCCTCCCTCCACCTCCCTATAGCTCAGTGGAAATTTGAAGACAGCTCCAATGGATTCTGAGTTTTCTTTTCTCACAGCCTAGTCTCCCAGTTCCACCAGACCTTCCTCATAGGACTGGTTTCTCTGTACCTGCCCCCATCTCAGTCTTGGCCTTTCAGAAACTACTCAGGGTTTTCCTGTGAAGTAGATATCCTCTTGGGTGCCTCCCCAATCCCTCCTCCCCATTTTTCCACTGCACGAACTTTGATTTCATTCTAGTGGTTTCTTGTCAGGCTTAGTGGGTAACCTTGATTAATGAAAACCATCTGGAGTAATTCTATTTTTCTTGCCAGGCATTTCTTTAAGAATAAGCATGCAACCCAAGTCAAAGAGACATAATGGGATGATTGCTAGGGCTGTCTGTAATTTTTTCCCCCAAAAGGAGTTGTAAGATGAGATCCCGCTATGATGACTGGAGCAGTGGCAGGCATATTGGGACAATGAGGACCCATCTTGTCAGGGAAAGCCAGCTGAATAAGGGAAAGGACCTGTGTCCCTGGAGAACTGCTGAGCCAATGCATCAGTCAATGCTGAAACTTTTTCTTTTCTAGACTTCTTGTTACATGAGAAACTAAATGTCTTTATTATTTAAGACATTTATTCAGTAAGTATTTATGGACTAACTAGGCACTTTTCTAGGTACAAGGGATAGAAAGGAAAGAGCCTTTTAAAAAGGAGGTAAGTGAGGGAAATGAGCTAAGAATTCTTCAAATTTTGGTCCTTCTTATTTTCATCTCCTTACTTTTTCCAAAATAATTATATGACTACTGCTATTATGTGACCATAAAAAAGATGCTAATTCTTTTTTGGGGGGTGGCTTTCTCTTGCTCAACATCCAGTGACCTCTTTCTCATCTTTCAATTGGAGCTTTAGAATCTCCTCCATGGTGAAGCCCTTGGGAAAGAGTCAGATCTCTTGTAAACTGTGCGACATATAGTACAAATCACTGTACTGACAGATAGGATAGCATTTTGCATACAGGACTGTTTGGGCGGGCTTGAGAGCTCTTGGATTTGGAACAAAGTGAAAAATAAAACAAGTGGCAAGATAAAGGGGACTCAAGCATTGCCATTATTACTAATGAAACCTAGACTATGGAATGTAGCTTAGGTATGAGAGCCAAATGAGCTTCCTAATCTGGATCCTGTAATTGGTCTGTCTTGTCCTGTCACATAAGTTCAGGCAGGGGCAGGCTTCACTATCCCATCAAGGATAGTCTTCCCCTGGAGAAGCAGTAGAGAATGCCAGCCCTCTTCAGGAGCTACTTCCCATCAGGATGAGTTGAGAGGCTGAGATGAGCATATGCTTTACTTCCAAATTTACGAGCAAGATAAGTCAGGCAATTTCCTCTTTCGCTGAGGGAGGAAAGGGGAAGAGAGAGGTACTAAGTATTAGTCATTAAGCTCCATTCACATCGAAATAAACATCACGAGTGGGAAAGAGGTTCCACATTTCTTCCTCCCCTTCTGCTACAGATTATAACTCTTCCCTTGTCAATTTTAGCCACTACCTGTGCTATCCAATGTAGTCGCTACCAACTACCTATGAGCATTTAAATGAAAGTGAATTAAAATTAAGTATGTTTAAAAATTCAGCTTCTTGGTCACACTGGCGACATTTCAATTGCTGCTGTATTGGACAGTGCAGCTATATAACATGGCCGCCATCAAAGAAACATCTACCGGATAGTGCTACTATGAGATTTTTGTCTTAATCATCTTTGTATCCTCAGACCTAACTCAAAGACACTCAGAAATGTTTGTTGAATTTATATATGAAAGTAGACCACTGCGATTTGTTTTTCGAATCTGCATGTCATAAAGATCTTTTCATTTCCAAACCAGCAAGATATGAAAATGGAACACCGATATCTTGTTCTAACATGAAATAAATCAGTTGAAGAATGTATATTCTATAACCCTAATGTTAAAACTTGTTACAAGAAAATGAGTTAAGTTTGAGTAAAAAAGTTAACAGGTTAGGCAGTATGTTAGCTTTTTAGATATACAAAGAAAATTATGGCTAGTCTCAATGTCAAGTATAAATGCAAGACAATTTTAAGAGTAGATAGACTGAAGTGTTCGGAAACATAGTGTTGAAGTGTAAAGACAAATCACAGCCAAGTCACATGCAAACCATGAAATCTCTTTCCTAAGGAGTGTGCAAAGTAATATTTTCTTTCCCCAAATATGGTTCCCTTGCTAAGCTGCTGAGAAGGATAGGGCCAGATGGCATGCAGTTCTCATTTCCCTGTTACACCTCCTGACCCAGCTGTATACTTTTCCAGCTTCTCCCTATAAAAAATTACTTTTGTCTGTTTTGGGAATTATCTTAACTTTGGGAATGAACCTAGTAACTGTGTCAGAGTCAGAATACTGACACACTGACTGTGACAATGTTCTTGCAGCCTTCCTCTGCTCCTAATTTGGTGGTTTATGAGCTCACAGATGCTGGACCAGAATTCAGTTCATAAAATTAAGGCATTCTGTTTGACGGAGCCAAATCTAAACTGCTGAAGCAAGGACAGTAAAGCATGCAGCAGTGCCTTAAAAAGTAACTAGGGCCATCAAACCCACACTAAAAGTCAACATGGTTTCAAAATGAAGATCTCTTGATGCTGCAGTAATTTCTCAGGAAAAAATAGGCTATCATTACGAGAATACTAAAACTAAATGAGAATAACAAATAAAATAATACAGAAGACCAATTTAATTAGCAGCTCTGCTGTTTTATGCTCAGTTGATGGGAGAAAAGAATATTTTCATCAAACTATTAAAATGAATGGGTTTAAAGATATGCATGTAATCATCCATAAAAATGACTTTAACAAAATAATTTTTAAAATGAGCATGATAGAAATGACTTCCCTATAATTATTATGTTCATTGACTCTTATTTACTCTTAAACCATGATGGATTCCAGGTTTGGGTAAAGTTCCAGAGGGATGAATGCATCCCTTAGGAGCTGATATTGGGGGAGATTGAGTTGTTTGGTAAATTACTTCTTTCTTAATTATTTTTCTGCTGCTGTTTCTATTTTTCAGACCCACTATGAAAATGGGGAATATATCATCAGGCAAGGTGCAAGAGGGGACACGTTCTTTATAATCAGCAAAGGAAAGGTAAGTTCTGGCAGAGCAAAAGAGTGATGCAGTGGGGGAGCTGGGGTCCTCGGTCACCCTGGCAACAGCACATGTGTAGTGTCTTGAGTTATACTAGTTTTTCCATTATCTGAAACTGAAAGAGGAATGTCTGAACATGAATTTCCCAAAAATAATGCAGAAGGAAGAAAAGGAACAACTTTGAAGACCAGTTTGTATGGTATAATATAAACATGATTCTAGATGCTACTGATAGGTCTACATGAATGGGAAGATTTCCGTAATTAAAATTACATAATTAAAAAGAAAAAGACTATGGTTGCTTAAAAAAAACTCCTGAACAGGGAAAAACAATTCATCCAGCCATTAGGAGCAGTAAAAGTGCCATCATGAAACATCTGGACTTTGAAATCAGATGGCCCAAGTCTGAATTTGGCTATTAAACACACTAGTTTTAGTATCCACAGGCAATTTGCTTATGATTTTGGGGGCAATAAGGATATGAAAATATTTATGTTTTATTGTATCTTACTAAATAAATATTGAATAAATATTAAAAACTATTAAAATGATAAAATATAGGGCAAGAATAAATATAAGGTAGACAAAGGATTGGAACAAAAATTATAATTTAATCTTTACCATATTGTTTTAACTTTCAATATTATAAATCTATTATAATTTTTATTTAAAACTCAATAAGAAACAGTAAAGTCATAATCATTTTTGCATTTAAGTATCATTGCACTATAACCTATGATTTGAATTTATTTTGCTTTATCATAAGTGATCCTTAAAAAGAATTTGTATGTGTTAGGGATAGGAAGAGATGAGAAGGAAATGCAGATGGAAGGGGATTTATATGCTTTCACTTTTACAATTGTTACTTAAAAACAAGTAAATGTACTTCCTCTGAGTTAACAAATGTGACTGAATCTTGTACTTTATGGCTCATGTTAAAATAGAAAAGAGATTTAAAGAGCCATCTTGAGCAGGACATGTGAAGCGTTATAAATCTTGTTGGATCGCATATTGGAAAATTCTGTTTGGACTAATTTTGAATCAAGAATGTGCATATGTTAATGTTTTACACCAGTGGCATTGTTACAAGATAAGAAATGTTAGCATTTTGTGGTTTATATATAACTTGCTAGAGCCTACTATTTACTCTTTCATTTCTTAAAATTGACTAAAACATCAGGAAAAATTGAAAATCTTCATGAATATAAATGATTTCATTGATCACAGGGAGATTTTTTACCATCATGATCTGGGTGTATATTTTCTTTGTTACATTGCTCATTCTTTGCTATCAGGGAATGATATGTTTATTGCATAAGATAAATTTCTGTCAGGCTTATGTGAATTCCCTCTTACAACAAGTTCCCAGCACCATCTAAAAAAAGCTGTGTTTTTTAACCAGTTTCAGCAGAAGATAGGTGTGTTAGTGGTGCTGTTCTATGAGTTTCATAAGTCTAATCAGAAATAACATGGAAATTATATCATAGGAACTGATTCTCTTGGCAATATTTTGGAGCACCATAAGGATTTTGGGAGGGAAGTAGTAAGAATATATTAGACTCTTTGACACATTCATGATTTTTTTTAAGTGAGGTATAGACTTTTCATAACCAGGTTTTTGAGGTCAAACAACTTAGATGCTATGATTCCTAGTTAGAGAAATTGTATAATAATCAATATATGATAGATTAATATAATAATTATATTAATTCTAATTATTAATGTATTGAAATCATTGCAATAAGCCTTACCAAGCAGAAGATGGGTATACTTAAGTCCCAATGCAAAGGAATAAGGAAAGAGAAGAGTAATGAGGGTAGGTTCAGGTAAGCAGGCAAAGTTGTAGAACTGAAATTCTGTAAAACTGTATGTTTTGTTTTAGGTATACAGATGTAAACTTGTTTTCATATGCATTTAAAACAAATTATAAAGGATAACCCTAGAAAAGACATTTTTCTTGTTGCAACCAAACTGGCTTTTCCTTAGGAAATGGTGCACAGCAGAGACACACAACAGGGGACTATAGCACTACAAATGGATTTCCCCTTGTTTAAGTCCATTTATTTAAGTGTGAAACAGTTTTTATTCTTCCATTAAACACATCCACACAAAGAGAAAAACATTTATAATTAAACTTTGAAATATTTGTTTCCCCCTCATTAAACCTACACAAACGTTTTTTTTCTGAAACCTGAAGCAGAAGGCTGCCGTGATGTCTGGAGTATCTGGTGCTGCCTCAAGTGGAAGTTGAGTTAGTTCTCTACTCAACTTTAATGGGTCCATTCCAGTTGCTTGGAAACATGACAATCCCCTCCACCTCCCAATAAAGGATTCACAATAGAACACGAAAAATATCTCTGATAAAAGTTTATGCATATGTCCTTGTAGTTGTGTTGCATATCTTCCAATAACAAGTTGAACCAAAATTGAACAGGATTCATAGATAATATTCCAGAGTTCCAATAATAATTCAAATGATTTTTTATCTGTCAAACTCCATTTAAAACCACATGGCTTTGCTTAGAATTAACAAGTGCTGAAGAGTGTTAGTGAGCTCAGATGAAGATCCATGACTACGTGGGAAGTTGATGTAGGACAGCGTGGGCAATACAGGTACCAAGGCGACTGATTCTCCACAGAGAAATACATGAAATTAGATCCTGACCTCCCATAGTACAGAGAGGTAAATTCCAGATGTAAATACAGAAGAAAAATTAGGGAGAAAGGCAATTGGGAGAATCCTTTTATCATCTCAGGACAGAAAGTAATTTTTAAATATACTTATTAAGTATAAAAATTAAGGGATAATATTGTTATATGTGATTATATTATAATTAATAACTGTATGGCAAGACATAAAAATACTAAAAAGAAAACCACAGTTTTATGAATCCATGAAAAAAATAATAACAATCCAATAGAAAAAATATGTAAAAAGCATGATCAGATACATCATAAAAATGAAATAGAACTGACCTATAAAATAACATGAAAAATGCTCTACCTCTATTAATAGTCAAGAAAATGCCTAATTCTTGCCTAATTCCTTGGCAAAAATCAAAGTTCAATGATAACAAATGTTGATGAAAATATAGTACAATATAAACTTTTATCCCCACATGTTGTAGGAATGTAAGTTGGAATGACCTCTTGTTACCAAGAGTGAGTCAATATCTGACAAATTTGAAGAGGCACATAACTTTATCACCTTTTTCTTCAGTCATAAGTATTGATTCTTGGGCACCAAAAAACATGTACAAAATATTCATAGTAATGTTGTTGATAGCACAAGAAAATCAAAATATAACTGAAAAATAAACCTGAAGAAGCCCACATTTACATCTACAGAAGATTTAATAAATCATATATTTATATAGTGGGATAATATGCAAACAGAAAATGAACTATAGCTATGTATAATAACATAGATGAACTGCATAAATCTCAAGTAAAATACTGACCAAACTAAACAAGTTGCAGAAGAATTTGTGTGATATAATGTTTATATGAAGTTCAAATCCAGGCAAATATTTTGTATTTTTGTATATGTATATATAAAATTAAAATATAGGCACATATATCGTACTTATACATGGAATGAGGTGTATGTGCAAATGTGCACACATTAAATTAGAAACATTAGAAAGGAAATCATGAACATAAAATTCGCCACAGGTGTTTTGGAGGAGGAGGGTGGCAGAAATGATGGAGAGTCTAATTTACTGCTGTGTTGCACAGAAGGTTCAACTGTCAAATCAGATTCATAGGAATCATAGATCTTACCCCATGGTGAATTTAAATTATAATTTAAAGAACTTAGGCACACTTCAAGCTCAGAAAAAATTTCTTTTCCTACACATGCCCCAAACTGTCATTTATATATCCTTAAAGTGTGCTTCTGCATTAGGAGATATTTTGGTTTTGAAAGGATTAGACCAGTTTATGAGCAATATGTGCAGAAGAATATTATTTGAAAAGGTAGCTGCTTTGGAGACTCCAGGTTTTGTTTTTTTGCTTTTGGTTTTTTTTTTTTTTGTTTTTTTTTTGTATTCTTAAGGTCTTATTTAATGGGGGAAAAAAGGGGAAAGGTCAAGTCAAGGAACATATATAAAGGATCCATGGATAAAGACAACAGGGGGCATAGGGCAGGGAAGAGTAATGGGGGAAAATGGGGACAACTGTATTTGAACAACAATAAAACATAAAAGAAATAGAGCAAAAAGTTTTATTTATTTATTTATTTTTAGAAAGAGGGGAAGGGAGGGAGAAAGGGAGGGAGAGAAACATGGATGTGAGAGAGAAACACTGATCAGTTGCATCTCATATGTGCTCTGCACTGAGGACCAAACCTGCAACTCAGGCATGTGCCCTGACCCGGGAATCAAACCAGCGACCTTTCACTTTGCAGGATGACACCCAACCAAGCCACAATGGCCAGGGTGGGCCTCTTCAGTTTTATGATACATTAGCCACATGGATAGGAAAATGCTTTGGTTTTGGGACTCCTCAGTTAGGTAAGAATATGTTTACCTGACTAACCCTTATTCTCCAACTGGGTCTGCCCCAGAAGTCTATAAAATCCAGATTTATTTATAATAAACATTGCTTTGTTATAAAACCCTCTGAACCTGTAGTAAAACATTTTATTTTTCTTTCAAATTGTTTTTGGTTAAATGTGTTGGTAGAGCATATTCATATTGTTTATTGAAGGTATTGGAATTAAAGATTAATTTTATGTGCCCCTGTTAAATGTCTAATTCTTATTTTGAGAAAGGTACAAACTTCTGGTTATGAGATAAATAACTACTAAGGATGTATTGCACAACATAATAACTATAGTTAATAATGCTGTATGATATACAAAAGTTGTTAAGAAAGTAAATTTAAGAATTCTCATCACAATGAAAAAAATATTTCTTTCCTCCTTCCTTTTTTAGTGTCTATATGAGATGATGGGTGTTAACTAGACTTATTGTGGTGATCATTTCATATTTGTAACTCCAATCATTACACTGTACACCTTAAACTTATACAGTGTTGTATGTTAATTATATCTCAATAAAACTGGAAAAACTTCTAAAAATAAAATAAGAAACATCATAGCCTAGAAAGAAAATAAAAAGGAAATAGACTCATCTCTGTTAATTCAATCCTTCCTTCATATTTTTAGCATGCATTCTACCTGAAATGCTATGCTTAATGAGACACTTATGTAAGACATAGATTTAGTATTTATTTGGCTTCATTTTCCATTGCAATATTCACTATACATTCATTCATACATTCACTTTTCCATTCACTATGACTATACTGACAATGTGTGTAATTTCTACAATAACCAAAAAATAAAAATTATATAGCTTTAAAAAATAGTTTTAAACATGTAAATCACAAGACTACATATATTATAGAAAATTAATATATAGGTAGGTTACAAAGTATAAAAATATAAATACTCTCTTTTATCTATTTACAACTGCAAGTAGTTAATGTTCTAAATAGCATTTTTTTGCAATGATAAAAGAGAAATAATAGTGATGAGATAATTATTTTACAATCAAATGCATGGAATTTCTGATATAGAAAATTAGAGAAAGAGAAGAAAGGGAAAAATATAGAAGAAACAACAGACATTTTGGGGCACTTACTATTAAGAGGATACTTTGATAGATTTTCTCATTTAATTCGTACACAACATATGGTCCGCATGTATGGACACATTCCCCTCCTCCCCACCCATGCACACACTATGATAATAAGCCTCTCATTTTTTGGACAACTTGGCCAGATAACATGGGTTCAAACAGACTAAATATTATCTTTAAGGCTCCATAGCTGGTTCCTTTTTATAGCATTGTGGGTCATAAAGCAGCTTGTGGTGTAATGAAAATAATAAATACGCAAGCCAGGGTTACAGGAGCTATCTCTCTATATTCAAACTTTTCTACTCTGAAATTTCTTCAGAATTAAAGATGGAGATATTTGTGATTATTGTCTTTTCATCTTTGGAATGATTCATTAAACATGCAAAGAATAATTATGGAAATTAAAACTGTAAAGGAAAGCTTTTATTCTTGTTCTTTGAGCTGCTTATTTTTTCACATTATATGTATTTTTTTAATCTCCTCTCCGGGTTTTTTTTAATTGTTGTTCAGTTACAGATGTTTTGACTGGTTAGGTTTTTCCTCACATTTATCATATAAGCAGAAAGTGGTTTATTCTATAGAAGGCCCAGTTTTTATGTCTGTTACTTCATTTCAGTAACATCTTTTTAAAGTAAACATCTCTATTTAAAGTTCTCAGTTTTATGTTTCTTAACTACAATCACTATTTAAGGTATTTTAAGATACACTTATATTTCTCCATGGCCTCCTTAAATCTACCATTTTGAATTTCTAGTAGATTTTATTAATCGAATGGCAAATGTACAGTTATGTGATATATCCTTATATCTAATTTTGAATTAATGACCTTAACTTACAGTATACCTTAGTTCTTGACATTTTTTAGCAGTCAGGGGGAGAGATTGAAATAGTTTTGTTGGGTTGCCTCATGTGCAGATGAGAAAACTGAGGTTCAGAAAGTTAACAGTGTATTAATGTTTGTCAAGGATTGGTCTGTACATTAAACTTTTGAAATTCAGATTTCTAAAACTCACTGTATCAGAACCTTAGAAACCTTTATGTTAAATATACACTCCTCCCACGCCCCCTGCTCCCAGCCCCCAACACACACTGAAGTGGGAGAATCACTGTGCTAGCGTATTTCCATGCACTTCTGTAGAAGCCTCATCAACATGCAAATGAGCATCTCTATGATATAGCTTAGTGATAGGATTGTTAAAAACCACATTTCCATGGGTTTGAAACTGTGTGGAGGAGTAGTCAAATGGATCAATGGAGAAAAATAATTGAATTCCTTCCACTTTTCACAGACCTTCTTAATACTTATAAAATTTCTGGTCTTTGACATCCAATCTCTAAAGTCAAAACCTTGAAGCATAATATTTTTAAATATATTTAAGTGTCTGGCATTGTCTCAAGAAATTAGTTTTTCTACTTCATTTCCAGGCATGTGTATTTTAACTACCGAACCTTTCTGGGTGACATATAGTCAGTATTATGAATATTAGTAGAGCCGAAGGGGGTAGTGAATGAACACTTAATTGCATTCCTTGACTTCTGTGGACTGTTTCTCAAGTCACAAGTCCTGTACGTCCCAAGACATGCTGTTAGTTAGGAAGCTTTTCTGTTCACACAATTTACAACTCTTCATTAAGTGCTCACTGGAAGTTGTAGAGAATGCCAAAGAAATATCCATTTCTTTGAAGAGCATGTTATTTATTATGACTTTAAAAAGACATATATGTAATTTCTATATACTTTAAATAAGAAATACTGGTGAAGGAAGCATGTGGATTGTGAGAACTGAAGTCTATAGTCAGTTAAAGATCTGTAGGAGGACTTCATGGAAGTGTGACTGGCCTTTGAATGAAGGCTGCATTTTTCTTAAGGAGACAGACATGTCCTAGAGAAATGAGATGTGCATGTAGAGTTGTGTAGAGAGATGTTCATTGCAGCACGAAAATGGAAACAACATAAATGTCCATGTACAAGGAAATGGATATATAAGGAAATGTACAGAGTACAAGAAGGCAATGAGTGAACTATATCTAATTGCATGGAGTAAGCAATTAAAAGAATGTGAGAAAAAAGTAAGTCACAGAATGATACATACCATATTATGCTATTTATATATTTTTAAAAACACATGCATGTAAACACATAAAAAGGGATTGGAGAAATGTTCACTAAGTTTATAATAATTGTCTCATTGGAGGTAGGATATGGGGATAAGGATGAGGATTAAATGAAATTCAAATTTCTAAATAATTCATTATTACTTAAAAGCAACTTGAAAGTATCAAAAATACTTGGAAGTCATTTTTTGGCCTCATTAGTGATAATATACTTGTTTTGCCCATAAAAATGAATTTAAAAAGGAGATGTAACTATCAATTAGTGTTCATATGATCATCTTGGGTATGCAATAGATTTAGACTTTCATTGTTTCTATTTGTAGGTAAATGTCACTCGTGAAGACTCACCAAGTGAAGACCCAATCTTTCTTAGAACTTTAGGAAAAGGAGATTGGTTTGGAGAGAAAGCCTTGCAGGGGTAAGTAGATAAACTGTTAGACAGTTTTGGGTTAAATGCTACATAAATTCCTGTCTTAAAGATTGAGCTCTACACAAAATAGGCTCTTGAGTGCTGATCCTAATAACAGACATGTACCTTGATCATTTTTACTTATTTCCAGCTGGAATTGTAATTTGTTTAAAATAGGCTCCAGGATTGATTGGTGGTTAACTTCTGTAATAAATAATTTCTATATTAATAGGAAAAGCTGTCAGTTTTATGTTTCTTAACTACAATCTCTATGAAGATTAAAAGAGAGGGAAAGTCTCTGGTGAGCTTACTTTGTACAACAGTTTTATTAAGAATCTCAGAAAGATGGTTGCAAATTTTGGAATCCCCTAAACCTGATTGTACAAACAGTAGATCCAAAGGTAGTGAGGCCTTTCTGGGATCCACCTCTGGCTGACTGGTATAGGTGCTGGTTATGGTAATGTAGGTGGAGGAGAAGGTGGACATGGAGGTGATTTATGCATCCCCAGCTTCTCTCTGGGTGAGCTCGACACGATGGACTCCGAGAGGTGTACTGCAAGATCACTGAAATCCCACTTGTAAACCAAGACCTCAAGAAGTAAGCATTTGGGATTTCTTTCCATATACAATGGAAGAAAAACTCAGCTGACTTTGTACCACTCAGTAAGCAGAATTCATGATTAACAGGACAGATATATTTGGGTATTCTACTCTTATTTTCCAGTAAACATCACATCTCAATTATCTGTGTACAGAGATAAAACTTTTCAGAGTTTAGTGCTGTATGTATGCTAAGCCACTTGAATAAGAAATAACCAATGAGCACTTATTTTTGCATCAAATTCCAGGTATAGAAGTATCTACTAGAAAGGAACAATAATGGGATATAACATATTCCTAAAATATTTGGAACAATTTTGCTTCCATTTCAAATTATGCCTTTATTTAAAAAATTATAAGCAATTTACTTAAAAGTACTATAAAGAAGTAGTTTTTAAATTTTATTTTTCCATTACAGTTTCAATACATTCAATATTATTTCTTAAGATTGTATTTATTCTTAGAGAGAGGGCTAGGGAGGGAGAAAGAGTGGGAGAGAAACAGCGATTAATTGCCTCTCGTGTGCACCCCGACCAGGGGCAGAACCCGCAACACAGGCATGGGCCCTGACCTGCAATCAATCTAGTGACCTTTTCACTTTGCAGGACTATGCCCACCCATCTGAGCCACACCGGTCAGGGCTCAGTATTATTTTGTATTCGTTTCAGGTGTGCAGCACAGTGATTAGCTAATCGTATACAAGTGATGTCTCCAATATTTCAAGTACCCACCTGGCACTGTACATAGTTATTATTATATTATGGCTCTATTCCCTGTGCTGTACTTTATATCCCTGTGACAATTTTGTAAGTACTAACTTTTACTTAATCCCTTCACTTTAAGGAGTTTTTACTTTTGAAGCTACAATTAGTTGCCAGGTCTTATTTTCTTCCTTACTATTTCGTAGCTAAAGAAATGAAGTAGTACTTTTGATATCCTCTTACTCAGGCCACATTATCTTATGAAAATTCAGTACTAAATGCATTTGACTTTCTTTTTTTCATTTTGCTGAGTTCGTTTGATCCTATCTGCTGAACATGCACAAAAGAATTCAGTAAACCTCATCTTCCTAATATAAAATGAACAAACATATCATTTGTTGTTTAATCTTTCTTTCCCTTGATTACTATAAACGCAGAAGGTTCTAGAGAATAATGCCACCTGATCTCATTGGTCTGAGATTAAATGCTTCCATGGAAATTGTGATTTTCAGCAGAGCCAAAGAACCAGGAACATTTTCAATAATTTCTGACAACATCACAAGTGAGACACCAGAAGATAAAACATAATTGAGAGTTGACAGATTTTCTTTTGCAGCTTACTGTCACTGAATTTTGGTGCCAATTAAAAAAGCTTTTATGATGAAAACACCTTCCTGTAATGTGTCTTAAGAAGTAAACTTGAGGATATGATTTATGAAAAAAGATCAAATTTTGCTATGATATCAAAATTTAAGCTAATATATTCCTTCTGGAATGAAGTCCTTCTAGCCTATGCTTCTTGTGAACTACCTGTTGTCAAAGCTCTCTCTGAACACACTCAGCCCACTTTACTGGCCTTTCTCTCACTCCACTGCCACCATTTCCCTGAATACCCAGGCCCAGTCTACCCTGCCTCTTTCTTATGCTCTTTAATATTATTTTGCCACTGCTTAATCTGGCTTTATCAGTCTACTACGTGAACTCTTAAGTGTCACGAGGGATTTTCTACTTACATCAAAGAATCGTCTTTCTTTGATCTTCATTTGACTGCACTTGTCAGCCACAGTTTTACACTTTTGACCACTTCCTTCCTCCTTTAGATTCTCTATCCTTTGCGATCCCTGCGATTGTTAACACTCTTTACAATTTCTCATTTCATTTTCTGCAATTCACCAGTGATTTGTCCTCAACTCTCTATTATATACATCTTGGCATACATCCAGATTTATGACTGCATATTCCTTTGATGAAAAGAAGTCCCAAATATTTATCTTTTCAGATACTCAGCATGTATATGTTAAATGAATGAATAAACAAATGAGCCTCTCTAACGATGCTCAGTCTTGCAATCCCTTCTGCCATTGATTACTTTCACTACTTGTATTTGCTTTAAGGTGAATAAGAGGTTATGAACTCATTTGACTGTAGGTAGGGGTCAGGCTGGTAATGTAAATGAGTAAAAATAAGGTGAGTAAAACTGGTAGCAACCTAGAAAGCCTTTTGTAATGAGGATAACAATTACTGTCCTCCAGGTCATTGCTACACTTTTTCTCTCTTTTTTTTAAAGGGAAGGCAGAAAAAAATCTAGGTAGTTAAAAAAATATATGAAATATTCCTTTGTAACTTGATTTTTTTAAAATATCAAGCTCTGCAAACAAACAAAACATTTTTGCAAATGATTTGACCTCTGAGCTGCCATTTTGTGATTTCTATCAGTCAAATGTGCCTCTTTAAATCTCTTTAACTAGATTCAGTTGAAGGAAGCCTATTAGGTTAACCCTTCTTGATTATTTCCTTGTTTGATTATTTGACATTATAATGTTTTGATGTTCTATATCCATGTTCTGTTTTTCACCCTGTGTCTCCATGTTCTTCTATTCTGACCTTTTCTCTGAATTCCTACTTCTCACAAATCAGATTGATTTGTTTCACTTTTTCCCTCTAAATATCTTTGAATTTTTATAACTTCAGGATATAGTCTTTTGGGCAACTGCATATATTCTTTTGGGTAGTAACTATGCTTCCATGCAACCCAAATGATTTTTATACTTGAAAGATAAATTTTATAGTTGATATTCTCTGTATGCACATAACATAGCGTTTCAGACTGATGTTTTCTAACAAATACAATTTATATGTACTGGACATTTTTGTTCTATTTTTCTGAGAATGTTCAGCAGATCATTAAAATACTGGTATATTAGTAATATTGACATAAATAGTTGAACATTCTTTAAAAAATTTTAAAATTAAATGTATTGGGGTAACATTAGTTAATAACATTATATAAATTTCAGGTGTACTGCTTTATAATATGACTTCTGTATACTCTATATTGTGTTCATCATCTGCAAACTAGTCTTCTGTCAACATATATTTGACCTCGTTTATCCTCTTTATCCCTTTTCTCCCTTTGCCCCTGGTAACTACCATTCTGTTGTCTGCATCTATGAATTTGTTTTCTTCATTCAATTGTTGTTTTTTTTTGTTTTCTATTCCACACTGACTGGAATCATACAGTTCTTATACTTTTCTGCCTGACTTATTTTGCTTAGCATGATGTTCTCAAGATTCATCCATGTTGTCACAAATGATGCAAATTTTATCATTTTTGTTAGATGAATGGTATTCCATTGAGTATATATTCTGCATCTTCTTTATCCATATATCTGTCAAAGGACACTTGAGACACAAAGGACACAAGACATATTTTCACGCGTTGACTGTGGTGAATAATGCTGCAGACAACAGAGGGGTACATATAATCTTTATGAATAAGTATTTTCAATAATTTGAGTAGCTATCCAGCCAAGACATACCTGGGTCATATGGTGGCTCTATTCTTAATTTTTTGAGGAACCTCCATACTGTTTTTCCATAGTGACTACATCAACTTACACACCTACCAACAGTGTGCAAGGGCTCCTTTTCCCCACATCATCTCCAACATCTGTTATTTCTTATCTTATTGATAATAGCCATTCTCAGAGCTGTTAGGTGGTACCTCATGTTTTTGATATGCGTTTTTCTTATAACTAGTGATGTTGAGCTTTTTTTTTTTTTGTATACATCTGTTAGCCTTCTGTATGTCTTCTTTGGAAAAGGTCTATTTGGGTCCTCTGCCCATTTTGTAATTGTATTGTTTCTTTTTTTTGAGTTTGAGTTGTGTAAGATTTCTATATATTTAGAAAATTAAGCCCTTTGTCAGAGGTATTTTTTGCAAATGTCTTCTATTTAGTTTGTTGTCTTCTTGTTATTGATGATTTTTGAAATTTTTGCTGTGCAGAAGTTTTTTAGTTTGAGGTAGTTCCATTTATTTATTTATTTTTACTTTTATTTCCCTTTTCTTCAGAGTCAAGTCCACAAAAATGTCTCTGAGGCTAATGTGTGGGTTGATTTCTGGGCCCTGAATACTGTTTCATTGGTCTATGCGTCAGTTTTCCTGCCAATGCCATACTGTTTTCATTATTGTAGCTTTGCAGTATAATTTGAAGTGAGATAGTCTGATTCCTCTGGATTTGTTTATGTTTGTTTTATTTGTTTTTGTTTTTCCTCTGACTTTATTTGGACATTCAGGGTCTTTTGTGGTTCTATACAAATTTGTTGATTTTTTTTTTGTTCTATTTCTGTGAAAAATGCCATTGGGATTTTGATGGTGATTGCATTAAATCTATATACTGCTTTAGGTAACATGGCCATTTTAACAAT